GAGGCAAAAACGCAGCTCAACTGCACGTTTCTTGGCCCCTCCTAGCTGCGTGTCTAATCTGAGCCTAACAGACCTGAAGGAGTGATACCTTCCGCTACAGTCCATGAAGAACACTCCAAGGGTCCCACGAAGACCACCATGTTCATAAATCCCTTCCCCCGCCTACTTCTTCCCTTCCCCCACTTTGTTATCATCCCACTAACAGTTGGTGGAATATTTAGTAGCCAGGAAATGTCACGGATGGACTTATTGCCCAGGTGGCCACCTATCACGGGACCACGCTTGGAGTCACTGAGCTCCTGAGAGCGACCCATTCTTTCACCAATGTTTGTAGAAGCCGTCTGCATGCCTAGGGGCTTGATTGTATACACCTGTGTCCATGGAGGGGATTGGAGCACCTGAATCACATGATATGGAGGGGATTGGAACACCTGAATCACATGATATGGAGGGGATTGGAACACCTGAATCACATGACGTGGAGGGGATTGGGAACCCCTGAATCACATGATATGGAGGGGATTGGAACCCCGAATCACATGGTATGGAGGGGATTGGAACCCCTGAATCACATGACATGGAGGGGATTGGGACACCTGAATCACATGACATGGAGGGGATTGGAACACCCGAATCACATGACATGGAGGGGATTGGGACACCTGAATCACATGATATGGAGGGGATCGGAACACCGAATCACATGATATGGAGGGGATTGGAACACCTGAATCACATGACATGGAGGGGATTGGGACACCTGAATCACATGATATGGAGGGGATTGGAACACCCGAATCACATGACGGGAGGGGATCGGAACACCCGAATCACATGACGTGGAGGGGATCGGAACACCCGAATCACATGATTGGGAGGGGATCGGAACACCCGAATCACATGATAGGGAGGGGATCGTAACACCCGAATCACATGATATGGAGGGGATCGTAACACCCGAATCACATGATATGGAGGGGGGCAATCGGAACACCCGAATCACATGATATGGAGGGGATCGGAACACCCCCCATCACATGATATGGAGGGGATCGGAACACCCTGAATCACATGATATGGAGGGGATCGGAACACCCGTCACACATGATATGGAGGGGATCGGAACACCCCTCCACATGATATGGAGGGGATCGGAACACCCCGAATCACATGATATGGAGGGGATCGGAACACCCGAATCACATGATATGGAGGGGATCGGAACACCCGAATCACATGATTGGGATCGGAACACCCGAATCACATGATATGGAGGGGATCGGAACACCATTCACTATCACATGATATGGAGGGGATCGGAACACCCGAATCACATGATATGGAGGGGATCGGAACACCCGAATCACCATTCACTACCTTCTACCGGAGGGGATCGCAACACCCGAATCACATGATATGGAGGGGATCGCAACACCCGAATCACATGATATGGAGGGGATCGCAACACCCGAATCACCTCCCACCGATATGGAGGGATCGGAACACCCGAATCACATGATTGGGAGGGGATTGGAACACCCGAGTCACATGATATGGAGGGGATTGGAACACCTGAATCACATGATATGGAGGGGATTGGAACACCTGAATCACATGAACATATGGAGGGGATTGGAACACCTGAATCACATGACATGGAGGGGATTGGGACACCTGAATCACATGATATGGAGGGGATTGGAACACCTGAATCACATGATTGGGAGGGGATCGGAACACCCGAATCACATGATATGGAGGGGATCGGAACACCCGAATCACATGATCACCTGGGAGGGGATCGGAACACCCGAATCACATGATAGGGAGGGGATCGTAACACCCGAATCACATGATATGGAGGGGATCGTAACACCCGAATCACATGACTATTCTACCGGATCGGAACACCCGAATCACTATGATACTGGAGGGGATCGGAACACCACGAATCACATGATATGGAGGGGATCGGAACACCCGAATCACATGACTATGGAGGGATCGGAACACCCCCATCACATGATATGGAGGGGATTCGGAACCTCACCCGACCACATGATATGGACCGGATCGGAACACCCCCAATCACATGATTGGGAGGGGATCGGAACACCCGAATCACATGATTGGGATCGGAACACCCAATCACACCATTCACTACCTGGAGGGGATCGGAACACCTCCCACCACATGATATGGAGGGGATTCGGAACCTCACCCCCATCACCATGATATGGAGGGGATCGGAACACCCGAATCACATGGTAGGGAGGGGACTCGCAACACCCGAATCACCATGATATGGAGGGGACCTCGCAACACCCGAATCACATGATATGGAGGGGATCGCAACACCCGAATCACATGATATGGAGGGGATCGCAACACCCGAATCACATGATTGGGAGGGGATTCAACACCCGAGTCACATGATATGGAGGGGATTGGAACACCTGAATCACACCATTCATATGGACCGCCATTGGAACACCTGAATCACATGATATGGAGGGGATTGGAACACCTGAATCACATGATACCTGGAGGGGATTCACTACACCTGAACCACATGATATGGACCGCCATTGGAACACCTGAATCACATGATATGGAGGGGATTGGAACACCTGAATCACATGATTTGGAGGGTGGGGCAATACGTCTGTATGTACATATTGTGTTTCTGTATGTAAAGTCCACCCCCATCCCCCGTCTCCATCAGGTTGGAGATTCAGTGTTCCTGAGACGTGTTGCCATCCCAGAGGAGGCGCCGTTCACTAGCTTCTCTCTAGCTCCGCCTTCACTATTGATCTTCCCACCACCATTTTCTGCATTTCACTTTGTGTATTGTAACTACTTCACCCACCCCATTCACTACCTCACCTCCCACCACCATTCACTACCTCACCTCCCACCGCCATTCACTACCTCACCTCCCACCACCATTCACTACCTCACCTCCCTCACCCCACCCATTCACTACCTTCTACCCATTCCCTACCTCACCTCCACCACCACCTTTCTACCGCCATTCACTACCTCACCTCCCACCACCATTCACTACCTCACCTCCCACCGCCATTCACTACCTCACCTCCCACCGCCATTCACTACCTCACCTCCCACCGCCATTCACTAACCTCCTCCCACCGCCATTCACTACCTCACCTCCCACCGCCATTCACTACCTCACCTCCCACCGCCATTCACTACCTCACCTCCCACCGCCACTTCACCACCTTCTACCGCCATTCACTACCTCACCTCCCACTGCCATTCACTACCTCACCTCCCCTTCTACTGCTATTCACTACCTCACCTCCCACCGCCATTCACTACCTCACCTCCCACCGCCATTCACTACCTCCCACCCATCACCCTCTACCGCCATTCACTACCTCACCTCCCACCACCATTCACTACCTTCTACCGCCATTCACTACCTCACCTCCCACCACCATTCCTCTACTACCATCACCTCCCCTCCCACCACCATTCACCCCTTCTACCGCCATTCACTACCTCACCTCCCACCCATTCACTACCTTCTACCGCCATTCACTACCTCACCTCCCACCACCATTCACTACCCCTCTACCGCCATTCACTACCTCACCTCCCACCACAATTTACCCCCATTCTACCACCATTCACTACCTCCACTCCCTACCTTCTACCGCCATTCACTACCTCACCTCCCACCGCCATTCACTACCTCACCACTCCCATCGCCATTCGCCCCCTTCTACCGCCATTCACTACCTCACCTCCCACCACCATTCACTACCTCACACTACCTCACCTCCCACCACCATTCACCCCCTTCTACCGCCATTCACTACCTCACCTCCCACCACCATTCACCCCCTTCTACCGCCATTCACTACCTCACCTCCCACCACCATTCACCCCCTTCTACCGCCATTCACTACCTCACCTCCCACCACCATTCACCCCCTTCTACCACCATTCACTACCTCACCTCCCACCACCATTCACCACCTTACTACCTCCCACCATTCTCTGCCTCCTGCCTCATCTTCTGTCTGGGTGACAATGAGGTCGGTGTTTTCTGCTCTTCTACCATCCAGAGGCTGATGGCCGTCACTTCTCCCCACATGGACTCTTCTCTCTGAGCCATGGTGTGGGTGGCGGTACGATCAGTTTATGTAACTCTGTACACTGACAAGTCAAGCTGCTACTTTGCACCCTCCATTTCTGGGGCTTCTTACTCCTCCTTCTTCCTCCTCCTCCTTCTTCCTCCTCCTCTTCCAGGGAATCCGCTTCTTCCTCCTCCTCCAGGGCTTCCACTTCCTCCTCTCTTCCAGGGAATCCTCCTTCTTCCAGGGCTTCCTCCTCTTCCAAGGCATTGTCCTTCCACGGCCTCCTCCTCCTCCTCCTCTTCCAAGGCTTCCTCCTTCCAGGGCCTTCCTCCTATTCCAAGGCTTTCTTTTCTGGGGCCTCCTCCTCCTCTTCCAGGGCTTCCTCCTCCTCTTCCAGGGCTTCCTCTTCCAGGGAAGCCTCCTCCTCTTCCAGGGCTTCCTCCTCCTCCTCCAGGGCTTCCTCCTCCTCTTCCAAGGCTTCCTCTTCCAGGGAAGCCTCCTCCTCTTCCAGGGCCTCCTCCTCTCTTCCAGGGAATCTTTCCTTCCTCCTCTTCCAGGGCTTCCTCTTTCAGGGCCTCCTCCTCCTCCTCCAGGGCCGCCTCCTCTTTTCCTGGGGCTTCCTCTTTTGCCAGCACCCCGTGCCCCATGTCTCTGCTCTATAGCCATGAATTATTGCCTGTTGATGTATATGGGCGCCCCCTCCTGACCAGCCAGGGTGCATGCTTGGATGAGGGTCCCGTATGGAATTTGGGGACTTTGCAGTGTTTTGTGGGATTGACAATAATGTGATATCACATTTATATTCTGTAGATATCTGCGGCAGGTAATTTCTGTGAATTGACCCCACAATGATATCGTCCTGCAGGATAATGACCCCCATTCCCCTTATCATAGGTGGTGTGATCTCGTATGATGATCTCAAGAAGCTGATCAACTCCGGATCCGTCCAGATATACGATGTCCGGAATCCAGAGGAGCTGCAGATTGGAAGAATCCCAACTGCCGTCAATATTCCAGGTGAGGTCACATCCGCCATGTTGTCTGTGGGGTGTACGATCAGGTTACGTCACATCCTCCATGTTGTCTGTGGGATGTACGGTCAGGTGACGTCACATCCGCCATGTTGTCTGTGGGATGTACGGTCAGGTGACGTCACATCCGCCATGTTGTCTGTGGGGTGTACGATCAGGTGACGTCACATCCGCCATGTTGTCTGTGGGGTGTACAATCAGGTGACGTCACATCCGCCATGTTGTCTGTGGGATGTACGGTCAGGTGACGTCACATCCGCCATGTTGTCTGTGGGGTGTACAATCAGGTGACGTCACATCCGTCATGTTGCCTGTGGGATATACGGTCAGGTGAGGTCACATTCTCTGTTGTCTGTGGGATGTAGGGTCAGGTGATGTCACATCTGCCATGTTGCCTGTGGGATGGATGGTCAGGTGATGTCACATCCGCCATGTTGCCTGTGGGATGTACGGTCAGGTGACGTCACATCCTCTGTGGGATGTACGGTCAGGTGATGTCACATCCGCCATGTTGCCTGTGGGATGTACGGTCAGGTGACGTCACATCCTATGTGGGATGTACGGTCAGGTGACGTCACATCCGCCATGTTGTCTGGGGAGTGTATGGTCAGGTGACGTCACATCCGCCATGTTGTCTGGGGAGTGTATGGTCAGGTGGGGTCCCTGGCTCCGGTGCACATCCTTCATCATGCATATGTTGGGGGTTTTGGTGTCTTTCAGTTGCGGAAGTAGAAGGCGCTCTGCAGATGGACGCCGTTGCGTTTAAACAGAAATATAATGTAGAGAAACCAAAACCGGAAGATGACAACCTGATATTCCACTGCCAGCTGGGGCGCAGAGGAGAGCGGGCCACCAACATCGCCATCGGTCTGGGGTTCAAAAAGTACGTCTGTGATACCGATTGTGTGTATTGTCTTCATCCTTCAGAAATGGGAGATACATCCATACAGAACCATGATGTACTCCGCGGGGGCGTCACCCAATCCATACAGAACCATGATGTACTCCGCGGGGGGCGTCACCCAATCCATACATAACCATGATGTACTCCGCGGGGGCGTCACCCAATCATACAGAACCATGATGTACTCCGCGGGGGCGTCACCCAATCCATACATAACCATGATGTACTCCGCGGGGGGCGTCACCCAATCCATGCAGAACCATGATGTACTCCGCGGGGGGCGTCACCCAATCCATACATAACCATGATGTACTCCACGGGGGCGTCACCCAATCCATGCAGAACCATGATGTACTCTGCGGGGGGCGTCACCCAATCCATGCAGAACCATGATGTACTCTGCGGGGGGCGTCACCCAATCCATGCAGAACCATGATGTACTCTGCGGGGGGCGTCACCCAATCCATGCAGAACCATGATGTACTCCGCGGGGGGCGTCACCCAATCCATGCAGAACCATGATGTACTCTGCGGGGGGCGTCACCCAATCCATGCAGAACCATGATGTACTCTGCGGGGGCGTCACCCCATCCATAGAGAATCATAGTATTCTCCGGGGGGGGGGGGGGGGGGGTGTCACCCCATCCATACAGGCCCATAATATTCTCTGGGGGGGCGATGTCGCTCCATCCATACAGAATCATAGTATTCTCCAGGGGGGGGGCGGTGTCACCCCATCCATACAGAATCATAGTATTCTCCGGGGGGGCGGTGTCACCCCATCCATACAGAATCATAGTATTCTCCAGGGGGGGGGGGGGCGGTGTCACCCCATCCATACAGAATCATAGTATTCTCCAGGGGGGGGCGGTGTCACCCCATCCATACAGAATCATAGTATTCTCCGGGGGGGGCGGTGTCACCCCATCCATACAGAATCATAGTATTCTCCGGGGGGGGCGGTGTCCCACCCCATCCATACCGGCCCATAATATTCTCTGGGGGGGGGGGGGCGTCACCCCATCCATACCGGCCCATAATATTCTCTGGGGGGGGGGCGTCACCCCATCCATACAGGCCCATAGTATTCTCGGGGGGGGGGGGGGGTGTCATCTCATCACCTTCCAATAAACACGCAGACCTCCCCGATCACTGGCAGGATGCAGATCTGGTGACGGTGGTCGTCCCGACAAGGAGCCGTCATGGCTACGCATTTCGTGGGCAAAGTCGTAGCTGGTCACTTGTTCATCCCATTCAATGGGGGTCATGATTTCCTGAGCAGAGGAATTCTGAGAGATAAGGGGCCCCTTTCTGCTCCTGTATCACATCGGGGTCACTGTGTGATGTCATAGAATGTCAGCTTATTGTCTGTCCTTCCTGCAGGGCCCGGAACTACCTCGGAGCCTACAAGGAATGGGCTGAGAAGGAGGGAAGATGATGTGCAACCCCCACGTCTGCCGCCAACGACAACCCACTCCCGGGATGATGAAAGAAATACATTGTATTAAATTATACTTTACACAATACCGGCTCTGACTCCTCCTTCTCCCTGACACTGACCACACCCACGCGGATCCTCCATATACACAATGTGGGCTCTGACTCCTCCTTCTCCCTGAGACTGACCACACCCACGCGGATCCTCCATATACACAATGTGGGCTCTGACTCCTCTCTGAGACTGACCACACCCCCGCAAATCCTCCATATACACAATGTGGGCTCTGACTCCTCCTTCTCTCTGAGACTGACCCACCCACGCGGATCCTCCATATACACAATGTGGGCTCTGTCTCCTCCTCTCTGAGACTGACCACACCCACGCAGATCCTCCATATACACAATACCGGCTCTGACTTCTCCTTCTCCCTGAGATTGACCACACCCACGTGGATCCTCCATATACACAATGTGGGCTCTGACTCCTCCTTCTCCCCTGAGACTGACCACACCCACGCGGATCCTCCATATACACAATGTGGGCTCTGACTCCTCCTTCTCTCTGAGACTGACCACACCCACGCGGATCCTCCATATACACAATGTGGGCTCTGTCTCCTCCTCTCTCTGAGACTGACCACACCCACGCAGATCCTCCATATACACAATACCGGCTCTGACTTCTCCTTCTCCCTGAGATTGACCACACCCACGTGGATCCTCCATATACACAATGTGGGCTCTGACTCCTCCTTCTCCCTGAGACTGACCACACCCACGCAAATCCTCCATATACACAATGTGGGCTCTGTCTCCTCCTCTCTGAGACTGACCACACCCACGCAGATCCTCCATATACACAATGTGGACTCTGACTCTTCCTTCTCTCCCTGAGACTGACCACACCCACGCAGATCCTCCATATACACAGTGTGGACTCTGACTCTTCCTTCTCCCTGAGACTGACCACACCTATGCAGATCCTCCATATACACAATGTGGGCTCTGTCTCCTCCTCTCTGAGACTGACCACACCCACGCAGCAGATCCTCCATATACACAATGTGGACTCTGACTCTTCCTTCTCCCTGAGACTGACCACACCCACGCAGATCCTCCATATACACAATGTGGGCTCTGTCTCCTCCTCTCTGAGACTGACCACACCCACGCAGATCCTCCATACACACAGTACATATAATGGTGAAGGGATTCTAGTTTACGACAAAAAAAAAAAAAAATCAACCCCAACCACCCTAGACCCCCAACTGCTGCTCCATGATCGGAATCCTGGGGACACCCGGCTGGTTGAGATATGAGTGGACATCGGGGGGGGGGGGGGATGAAGGTGTTAATAGGAGCAGAGAGTTTAATAAAGAAGGAAAATCCCCCCCCCCACATGTGATGTCACAGCATTGCCTCCAAGCATCCAGCTGAACCATGGAGCGCCATGAAAGATCCAGGACTTCAGACTGTCTGGTGTAAGGGTGGTGGGAGGAGGGGCCTGGGAACTCATGTGGGAGGAGGGGCCTGGGCCTGGGAACTCAATTTGGGAGGAGGGGGCTGAAAACACATGTAAGGGAGGGGCCTGGGAAAGCACATGGAAGGAGGGGGCCGAGAACACGTAGGAGGAGGGGTCCTGGGAGCACACGTGAGAGGGGGATGAGAACAAGGGTGGGAGGAGGGGCTCTCTGGGAACAAACAATGGAGAAGGGGGCTGGCCTGGCAACGCGTTTCTGAGCTCTCCGCCTCCTTCTGAAGCCTGACCACTCTACAGTAATGGGGGGTTTAGAAGTTCTGGGCTGAACGGACTACAAGGATCAGAGTGGCTCCTAATGGGATCAGAATGAAGGACAATAAAAGTGAATGGCGAGAATACGGGACGATAATTGGAGATGTAGAAGAGGGACACAGGATCATGGATGGATGTGAATGGAGCCTTATACCACATCACACATGTAACACGGGCTTCATGGTTGGCTGTTTTGGGCACCCAAGCACTGGCCTCTAGCCCTGATAGAAGTTCCTGCTGAGGCCGAACTCTTCGCCATTTTGTACCCTGCTCCTTGCCATGGGCCTCCACATGACATTCCCAGTCATAGACCTTTATATTCGGAGGACGGAATGTCCCACACAAGAAATAGATTTGCTGCACTTTACTGGTGGTATTCAACACACGGCATCACAGTCTGTCAGGGCTCCGGGTATGACCAGAGGTATGGTGACTGACGCAGGGAAACGCAGACTTCAGATATGTGATAAACAATGTAATTTATTAACACTAACAATACATAAACGCAGTGCAATACTAAAACATAACACAGTGCAAACAAACCCAACCAACCACCCACAGATAACACATACAATGCAAGCGTAGTCAGGCAGGCCGGGTCAATAACAATCGGGCAGGTAGGAACAGGAGGAGCAGGCAGAGAGTAGTCAGGTCACGAGCCGGGTACAGCAACTAACAGGCAGGTAGGTACAGGGGGGTCAGGCAGAGAATGGTCGGGTCACAAGCCAGGGCCTCAAACAGGAGAAGTCAGCAGAGTCCGGATCAGGCAGGGTCAGCAACAAGTCAGTCAGACAGGAACAAGAATGCAGGTAACAAGATACAGGGCCCATAGAAAAAACACACACCAAGGCCCAGACTGCAGGTCTGGCCATCCCTTAAATACACCTGTAATCAGCTTCAGGTGTTTTTGGCTGACTGCAGGGTTGAGAAGTCTCTGATTGCTGAACACCCGCTGGCCCTGCCCTTGGGGTACTGCAGCCCACAAGGCGGAGGTGAGTCCCACCATTACTGACAAGTCCATTCCTGACACAGTCGCATCACAAAGACATACCATTCGGAGTCATGTGACATACACCAATCACATTAAGTGCACGGTCCACAGTGGTCACAGGTGAAAGCATACACAGCACTTCAGCAGCCATCTCCCTGCAGTCTCCATCTCCCTGCAGTCTCCATCTCCCTGCAGTCTCTCCTCTGCACGGGGTTATTGGTACTCACAGGACTGAGCTCTCTGAAGTCACCTCCTCCATAGGTACATCTCTCCCGGGAACCCTCCAGGGACGCAGCCTCACACAGGGGGATCACCGGCCTGAAACCATATTGAGATGGAACCCATAGGGGGCGCCCTAACACAGCCTGTCATGAAAAAAAGTCTGCGAAAGGCAGCAGAAAGAACCCGCCTAAACCACAGTGATCTGTTTGTGGAAGGAAACGTTGTCATCGATTTATTATTATGCAGGATGGCGTCATGACGTCACAATGTTATTATACAGGATTTATGGTGCCAACAGTTTTGCTCAGAGCTTTACAATATAACAGGAGACAATACAGATCAATACAATGATAGGAGGGCTGAGGGATAGGAGGGGCTGATCCTGGGAGCTTACAATCTAAGAGAGAGGGGCTGATCCTGGGAGCTTACAATCTAGGAGGAGGGGCTGATCCCGGGAGCTTACAATCTAAGAGGGAGGGGCTGATCACGGGAGCTTACAATCTAAGAGGGAGGGGCTGATCCTGGGAGTTTACAATCTAGGAGGGAGGGGCTGATCCCGGAGCTTACAATCTAAGAGGGAGGGGCTGATCCTGGGAGCTTACAATCTAGGAGGGAGGGCCTGATCCTGGGACCTTACAATTTAAGAGGGAGGGGCTGATCCTGGGAGCTTACAATCTAGGAGGGAGGGGCTGATCCTGGGAGTTTACAATCTAAGAGGGAAGGGCTGATCCTGGGAGCTTACAATCTAAGAGGGAGGGGCTGATCCTGGGAGTTTACAATCTAAGAGGGAAGGGGGCCTGATCCTGGGAGTTTACAATCTAAGAGGGAGGGGCTGATCCTGGGAGTTTACAATCTAAGAGGGGGAGCTTAAGGGCTGATCCTGGGAGCTTACAATCTAGGAGGGAGGGGCCTGATCCTGGGACCTTACAATTTAAGAGGGAGGGGCTGATCCCGGGAGCTTACAGTCTAAGAGGGAGGGGCTGATCCCGGGAGCTTACAATCTAAGAGGAGGGGCTGATCCCGGGAGTTTACAATCTAAGAGGGAGGGGCTGATCCCGGGAGCTTACAATCTAAGAGGGGGGGCCCTGATCCCGGGAGCTTACAATCTAAGAGGGGGGGCCCTGATCCCGGGAGCTTACAATCTAAGGGGGGGCCCTGATCCTGGGAGCTTACAATCTAAGAGGGAGGCCCTGATCCTGGGAGCTTACAATCTAGGAGGGAGGGGCTGATCCTGGGAGTTTACAATCTAAGAGGGAGGGGCTGATCCTGGGAGCTTACAATCTAGGAGGGAGGCCCTGATCCTGGAGCTTACAATCTAAGAGGGAGGGGCTGATCCTGGGAGCTTACAATCTAGGAGGGAGGGGCTGATCCTGGGAGCTGACAATCTAGGAGGGAGGGGCTGTGGTACATAAGGTAGTAACTGTGGGGGATGGACTGGTAGGAGGAGTAGAAGATTCCAGTATTAGCTGAGGGCAGGATAGGCTTCCCTGAAGAGATCGGTTTTCAGAGATCGCCTAAAAGTGGGCAGAGTAGGCGATAGTCTGATAAATTGGGGTAGAGAGTTCCAGAGGATGGGTGAAGCTCTGGAGAAGTTCTGGAGACAAGCATGGGAGGAGGAGACAAGGGAGCTAGAGAGCAGAAGGTTGTGCGAGGAGCGGAGAGGACGGTTTGGGTGATATTTGAAGACAAGATCGGTGATGAGTTATAAATGGCTTTATATGTGATTGTTAATGTTTTGAATTTTAGCTGTTGGGCAACGGGAAGGGAGGGATTGGCAGAGAGGGGTGGAGGACACTGAATGGAGGCCAGTGGAGGGATTGGCAGAGAGGGGTGGAGGACACTGAGTGGAGGCCAGTGGAGGGATTGGCAGAGAGGGGTGGAGGACACTGAGTGGAGGCCAGTGGAGGGATTGGCAGAGAGGGTGGAGGACACTGAGTGGAGGCCAGTGGAGGGATTGGCAGAGAGGGGTGGAGAACACTGAGTGGAGGCCAGTGGAGGGATTGGCAGAGAGGGGTGGAGGACACTGAATGGAGGCCAGTGGAGGGATTGGCAGAGGGGGGTGGAGGACACTGAATGGAGGCCAGTGGAGGGATTGGCAGAGAGGGGTGGAGGACACTGAATGGAGGCCAGTGGAGGGATTGGCAAAGAGGGGTGGTGGACGCTGAATGGAGGCCGGTGGAGGGATTGGCAGAGAGGGGTGGAGGACGCTGAATGGAGGCCGGTGGAGGGATTGGCAGAGAGGGGTGGTGGACGCTGAATGGAGGCCGGTGGAGGGATTGGCAGAGAGGGGTGGTGGACGCTGAATGGAGGCCGGTGAAGGGATTGGCAGAGAGGGGTGGAGGACGCTGAATGGAGGCCGGTGGAGGGATTGGCAGAGAGGGGTGGTGGACGCTGAATGGAGGCCGTGGAGGGATTGGCAGAGGGGGGGGGAGGACACTGAATGGAGGCCGGTGGAGGGATTGGCAGAGAGGGGTGGAGGACGCTGAATGGAGGCCGTGGAGGGATTGGCAGAGAGGGGTGGTGGACGCTGAATGGAGGCCGGTGGAGGGATTGGCAGAGGGGGGGGAGGACACTGAATGGAGGCCAGTGGAGGGATTGGCAGAGAGGGGTGGAGAACACTGAATGGAGGTCAGTGGAGGGATTGGCAGAGAGGGGTGGAGGACACTGAATGGAGGCCAGTGGAGGGATTGGCAGAGAGGGGTGGAGAACACTGAATGGAGGTCAGTGGAGGGATTGGCAGAGAGGGGTGGAGGACACTGAATGGAGGCCAGTGGGAGGAGTGGCAGAGAGGGGTGGTGGACGCTGAATGGAGGCCGGTGGAGGGATTGACAGAGAGGGGTGGAGGACGCTGAATGGAGGCCGGTGGAGGGATTGGCAGAGAGGGGTGGTGGACGCTGAATGGAGGCCAGTGGAGGGATTGGCAGAGAGGGGTGGTGGACGCTGAATGGAGGCCGGTGGAGGGATTGGCAGAGAGGGGTGGAGGACGCTGAATGGAGGCCGGTGGAGGGATGGCAGAGAGGGGTGGTGGACGCTGAAAGGAGGCCAGTGGAGGGATTGGCAGGGGGGGGGGGGACACTGAATGGAGGCCGGTGGAGGGATTGGCAGAGAGGGGTGGAGGACGCTGAATGGAGGCCAGTGGAGGGATTGGCAGAGAGGGGTGGTGGACCGCTGAATGGAGGCCGGTGGAGGGATTGGCAGAGGGGGGGGAGGACACTGAATGGAGGCCGGTGGAGGGATTGGCAGAGAGGGGTGGAGGACGCTGAATGGAGGCCAGTGGAGGGATTGGCAGAGAGGGGTGGAGGACACTGAATGGAGGCCAGTGGAGGGATTGACAGAGAGGGGTGGAGGACGCTGAATGGAGGCCAGTGGAGGGATTGGCAGAGAGGGGTGGTGAACGCTGAATGGAGGCCGGTGGAGGGGATTGGCAGAGGGGGGTGGAGGACCCTGAGTGCAGGCCGGTGGAGGGATTGACAGAGAGGGATGGAGGACGCTGAATGGAGGCCGGTGGAGGGATTGACAGAGAGGGGTGGAGGACACTGAATGGAGGCCAGTGGGGGAATTGGCAGAGAGGGGTGGAGGACGCTGAATGGAGGCCAGTGGAGGGATTGGCAGAGAGGGTGGAGGACGCTGAATGGAGGCCAGTGGAGGGATTGGCAGAGAGGGGTGGAGGACACTGAATGGAAGCCCGTAGAGGGATTGGCAGAGAGGGTGGAGGACACTGGATGTAGGCAGTGGAGGGATTGGCAGAGAGGGGTGGATGAAAACTGAATGGAGGCCAGTGGAGGGATTGGCAGAGAGGGGTGGATGAAACTGAATGGAGGCCAGTGGAGGGATTGGCATAGAGGGGTGGATGAAACTGAATGGAGGCCAGTGGAGGGATTGGCATAGAGGGGTGAAAGGACACTGAATGTAGGCCAGTGGAGGGATTGGCAGATACAGAACGGTTAGTAAGGTGGATGAGTCTGGCAGCAGCATTCATGATAGACTGAAGAAGGGAATAGCCTGCGATGAGTCGGCCAATGAGGAGGGAGTTACAATAGTCAAGACGAGAGATAACCAGGGAGGGAATAAGTTGCTTAGGTTTCAGAGGTTGCGGAGGTGGGGAGAGGAGGGGGTGGAGATGTTGGAGGTTGGAGATGTTGCGGAGGTTGGAGATGTGGGAGGTTGGAGATGTTGCGGGGTTGGAGATGTTGTGGAGGTTGGAGATGTTGCGGAGGTTGGAGATGTTGCGGAGGTGGGAGATGTTGCGGAGGTTGGAGGTGTTGCGGAGGTTGGAGATGTTGGAGGTTGGAGAGAAGTTGCGGGGGGGGAGGTTGGGAGGTTGGAGATGTTGTGGAGGTTGGAGATGTTGCGGAGGTTGGAGATGTTGCGGAGGTTGGAGATGTTGCGGAGGTTGGAGATGTTGTGGAGGTTGGAGATGTTGCGGAGGTTGGAGATGTTGCGGAGGTGGGAGATGTTGCGGAGGTTGGAGGTGTTGCGGAGGTTGGAGATGTTGCGGAGGTGAAGTCTACAAGATTTGGACAGTGATTGGATTTGGGGGTGAAAGGACAGATGGGAGTCTAGGATTACACCGAGTACCCTGGCATGAGGGGAGGGACTGATGATTGTGTTATTGATCTTGATGGAGAAGTCGGGGGGGGGCACGGGCTGGAGGGAATACGAAGAGCTCAGTTTTGGAAATATTGCGTTTGAGGAAGTGAAGTGACCTCCATGCCGATATGTCTCTTAGTAGGTTAGTAATGCGAGAGGAGACTGAAGGGGTGAGGTGAGGAGGAGACTGAAGGGGGTGAGGTGGAGGAGGAGACTGAAGGGGTGAGGAGGAGACTGAAGGGGTGAGGTGAGGAGGAGACTGAAGGGGTGAGGAGGAGACTGAAGGGGTGAGGAGACTGAAGGGGTGAGGTGAGGAGGAGACTGAAGGGGTGAGGTGAGGAGGAGACTGACTGAGGGGTGAGGTGAGGAGGAGACTGAAGGGGGAGGGGGGGAGGAGACTGAAGGGGTGAGGTGAGGAGGAGACTGAAGGGGTGAGGGAGGAGACTGAAGGGGTGAGGAGACTGAAGGGGTGAGGTGAGGAGGAGACTGAAGGGGTGAGGTGAGGAGGAGACTGAAGGGGTGAGGTGAGGAGGAGACTGAAGGGGTGAGGTGGAGAGGAGACTGAAGGGGAGGTGGAGAGGAGACTGAAGGGGTGAGGTGAGGAGGAGACTGAAGGGGTGAGGTGTGGAGGAGACTGAAGGGTGAGGTGAGGAGGAGACTGAATGGGTGAGGTGGAGGAGGACTGAAGGGGTGAGGTGAGGAGGAGACTGAAGGGGGTGAGGTGGAGATGAGACTGAAGCGGTGAGGTGAGGAGGAGACTGAAGGGGCGAGGTGAGTAGGAGACTGAAGGGGTGAGGTGAGTAGGAGACTGAAGGGGCGAGGTGAGGAGGACACTGAAGCGGTGAGGTGAGGAGGAGACTGAAGGGGCGAGGTGAGTAGGAGACTGAAGGGGCGAGGTGAGTAGGAGACTGAAGGGGTGAGGTGAGGAGACTGAAGGGGTGAGGTGAGGAGACTGAAGGGGAAGGTGAGGAGGAGACTGAAGGGGTGAGGTGTGGAGGAGACTGAGGGGCGAGGTGAGTAGGAGACTGAAGGGGCGAGTGTGTGGAGAGACTGAAGGGGTGAGGTGAGGAGCAGACTGAAGGGGGAGGTGAGGGGTAGAAAGATAGATTTGTGTGGCATCAGCATAGAGATGGTACTTAAAGCCATGGGAGTTATATCAAGTGACCAAGGTAGGAGGTGTAGATGGAGAAGAGAAGGGGTCCAAGGACAGAACCTTGAGGGACCCCAACAGAGAGGGGGAGTGGAGTGGAGGAGACAGAGTTATAAGTAACACTGAAGGAGTGCTGGATAGGTAGGAGGAGAACCAGGAGAGAGCAGAGTCTCGGAGGCCAAGAGAGTGGAGTTTTGCGAGGAGGAGGGGATGGTCAACCGTATCAAAAGCCGCAGAGAGGCCAAGTAGTAAGAGTACGGAGTAGTGACCATTGGTTGGGATGAGTACGGAGTAGTGGCCATTGGTTGGGATGAGTACGGAGTAGTGGCCATCGGTTGGGATGAGTACGGAGTAATGGCCATTGGTTGGGATGAGTACGGAGTAGTGGCCATTGGTTGGGATTAGTATGGAGTAGTGGCCATTGGTTAGGGTGAGTATGGAGTAGTGGCCATTGGTTAGGGTGAGGAGTACGGGAGTATGGAGTAATGGGCCATTGGTTGGGATGAGTACGGAGTAATGGCCATTGGTTGGGGTGAGTACGGAGTAGTGGCCATTGGTTGGGTGAGTGAGTACGGAGTAGTGGCCATTGGTTAGGGTGAGTACGGAGTAGTAGCGGCCATTGGTTGGGATGAGTAGCGGCCATTGGGAGTAGTGGCCATTGGTTGGGATGAGTATGGAGTAATGGCCATTGGTTGGGATGAGTATGGAGTAATGGCCATTGGTTAGGGTGAGTACGGAGTAGTGGCCATTGGTTGGGATGAGTATGGAGTAATGGCCATTGGTTGGGATGAGTATGGAGTAATGGCCATTGGTTAGGGTGAGTACGGAGTAGTGGCCATTGGTTGGGATGAGTATGGAGTAATGGCCATTGGTTGGGATGAGTACGGAGTAGCGGCCATTGGTTAGGGTGAGTACGGAGTAGTGGCCATTGGTTGGGATGAGTACGGAGTAGTGGCCATTGGTTGGGATGAGTATGGAGTAATGGCCATTGGTTGGGATGAGTACGGAGTAGTGGCCATTGGTTGGGATGAGTACGGAGTAGTGACCATTGGTCGGGATGAGTACGGAGTAGTGGCCATTGGTCGAGATGAGTACGGAGTAGTGGCCATTGGTTGGGATGGTACGGATGAGTACGGAGTAGTGGCCATTGGTTGGGATGAGTACGGAGTAGTGGCCATTGGTTGGGATGAGTACGGAGTAGTGGCCATTGGTTGGGATGAGTACGGAGTAGTGGCCATTGGTTGGGATGAGTACGGAGTAGTGGCCATTGGTTGGGATGAGTACGGAGTAGTGGCCATTGGTTGGGATGAGTACGGAGTAGTGGCCATTGGTTGGGATGAGTACGGAGTAGAGACCATTGGTTGGGATGAGTATGGAGTAATGGCCATTGGTTGGGATGAGTACGGAGTAGTGGCCATTGGTTGGGATGAGTACGGAGTAGTGGCCATTGGTTGGGATGAGTACGGAGTAGTTGCCATTGGTTGGGATGAGTACGGAGTAGTGGCCATTGGTTGGGATGAGTACGGAGTAGTGGCCATTGGTTGGGATGAGTACGGAGTAGTGGCCATTGGTTGGGATGAGTACGGAGTAGTGACCATTGGTTGGGATGAGTACGGAGTAGTGGCCATTGGTTGAGTACGGAGTAATTGGTTGGGGATGAGTACGGAGTAGTGGTCATTGGTTGGGATGGGTACAGAGTAGTAGTTGTGAGGGGACAGGATCCAGGGGGCAGATGGTGAGAAGGCAGAAGAGGGTGACCGTAGTAGTTGTGAGGGGACAGGATCCAGGGGGCAGGTAGTGAGATGGCAGAAGAGGTGCCAGAGTCCTAGGAGGGCAGCAAGGTCTTGTGTGCGCCGTACTCCCACGAGGAGCTAAGAGGAGAGTCTGTCCAACCCCTGAGCACCACACCTGAGCGCAGGAGATCACATCTTGAGTTATAGTGAGTGATGTTCCCCAAATTTGCCACGGACGGCCCCAATGGTGTGTCCCACATACAGAAGGCCGCAAGGACACGTTAAGCAGTCCACCACAAAGTCCGCTGAACAAATATAAAACTCAGAAGCGTTAGTCCGTGGTCTTTGTCCATGTTGGCATCCATAAAATGGCAGTTGAGACGTATTTCCTTCCTACGTCCCTATGAGGTTCCCTAATAAATTCCCCACCCCAGAGGTGGATTTTTTGATCTGTGTTTCCATCTTGCTGGAAGCCATTTTGCTCTTTACATTGGGGGCCCTCTGGTAGGCAAATCAGGGATTTTGAGGAAGGATGGGGCCCAGCTCAGGATCCTATAATAGGAAGGGCCAATGTTTCCCGAAGATGATTTCCAAGTTCTTATAGTTGGAATGAAATTGAGTAATGAACTTTATATTCTTCTATCTGTCCACATGGACATAGTGCCGGTGGGTGTGTACATGTGATAGGCCTCATCGTTACCCCCAAGTGTGGCCCCTCTCCATGAATGTTGTTCTTTAGATCTTATATTGTGTTATGTACTCCTCCCGGAGAGCAATGATTCCTTCATCAGCAAAACCGGCTTGTTGTCAGGGAGCGAGGAGCCAGACACACAAGGAGGTGCGATTAAAGGTAGGTTTATTTACACAGAAACAAGGCAAGAGTCTATGCAAGTCCAACAGCAACAGCGGATGACTTGGTAGGACAGACGTTCTCCTGCAGAGGTCGTCTTCCAGGATAATCAAGTCGAGAACCAGCAGGAATCGTAGCCAAAGCCAGGGACAGAAGCCAGGAAGAATGGTCGCCGGAGCCGGGGACAGAAGCCAGGAAGGATGGTCGCCAGAGCCGAGGTCAGAAGCCAGGAAGAATGGTCACCAGAGCCGAGGTCAGAATCCAGGAAGAATGGTCGCCAGAGCCGGGGTCAGAAGCCAGGAAGGATGGTCGCCAGAGCCGGGGTCAGAAGCCAGGAAGAATGGTCACCAGAGCCGAGGTCAGAATCCAGGAAGAATGGTCGCCAGAGCCGGGGTCAGAAGCCAGGAAGGATGGTCACCAGAGCCGGGGTCAGAAGCCAGGAAGCATGGTCGCCAGAGCCGGGGTCAGAAGCCAGGAAGAATGGTCGCCAGAGCCGGGGTCAGAAGCCAGGAAGAATGGTCGCCAGAGCCGGGGTCAGAAGCCAGGAAGAATGGTCGCCAGAGCCGGGTCAGAAGCCAGGAAGAATGGTCGCCAGAGCCGGGGTCAGAAGCCAGGAAGAATGGTCGCCAGAGCCGGGGTCAGAAGCCAGGAAGAATGGTCGCCAGAGCCGGGGTCAGAAGCCAGGAAGAATGGTCGCCAGAGCCGGGGTCAGAAGCCAGGAGGAGTCTTAGCCAAAGTCGAGTCGGTATCCAGGAGAGCAAAGAGTTAACCGAACAGGAGCTTGCTGCTGGGCAACAGACAGGACACGAATGCAATGGACAGCTACAAACAGCAGACTTAAATGTGATAAGCCGCCACCTCCTGGGAGGAGCCGCAGAGGGCTGAAAGCATAAAGGATCCCACAATGCTTTGCAGACACCTAAGATGGATGCCAGCACATGGAGCAGCACAAGCCCTGAGGAAAGGTAGGACCTTGATACATTGATGTGTAAATAGGAATTTCTGGCTGTGGGCTTCTAGCGGATCTTGGATGTGAGAAGATGTCCTTCGGAAGTCGGCTCCAGATGTAGGAAGAGCAGCCAGGTGGAGTCCCATACAAAGATCTAGATAGACCCCCAGGCAATGTTGTATTCAGTGTTCCTCAAATGGGACTACTTCCATGGGGGGACCATCCCAAAGGGTGACCATGTTGTCAATATACACTCTTGGAGGGGGAGGGCTTGTTTCTGTGGATACACTGGCTTTCCCAACAGCCCCCCGTCAGATTAGTATGACTCGGCGTTCGATTTACACCCATTGCTGGGCCATTGGTCTGAATTCCTGAACATGAAATATTTGTGCTCTAAACAGAACTTTGTATATCCAGAAGAAGGCGTCTGTTCACAATGGAAATCGGGACTGAAAATAAATATAGGGTACAAAGGCCTACCCCATATAGGAGGTCCAGGAGAAGCCCAGAATATGAAGATTCCCAGCGGGAGTACTGGAAACGCTCTACAGGATGGATGGAATCCCGTATGTACCAGGGGAGGTCCCAGTCCACGTATAGTGACTGTCCACTGGTCCTACTGTCATGGCTGCAATGGTAGGCCTACCAGGAGTAGAATCCTGGGGGGCGGTTCCATTATCGGAGGATAATGACATCACTACAGTTCCCTCCCCCTCCTCTTCATGTATCCCAATGAACATCAATCACAGATCTCCTCACCTCCCAGCCCCACCCATTGCCAGCAGATTGGCCGCTCCTGGCCCTGCCCCTCCTCACCTCTGTTCAAAGTACTGGAGGGGGCGTAGTGGAGGAGCCCCACCCAGGAGAATGAGAGCGGGTAACAACATCCCTCCAATCGGACATCTTTCCTGTGATTGGAATGATTGGGATCAGAGACTGGCGAGATCCTGAACTCCGCTCCTCATACACTCCTCTCTTCCTACACTCCAAGTACCCCAATACACTCCTCCTAAACCTGCATGCTCCTCATACCCTCCCCTCCTCATACACTCCTCATACCCTCCATGCTCCTCATACCCTCCCCTCCAAGTACCTCAATACACTCCGTGCTCCTCCTACCCTCCATGCTCCTCATACCCTCCCCTCCTCCTCATACACTCTGCTCTGCTCCTACCCTCCATGCTCCTCATACCCTCCCCCTCCTCATACATACTCTGCTCTCCTCGTACCCTCCATGTTCCTCATACCCTCCCCTCCTCATACACTCTGCGCTCCTCATGCCCTCCCCTCCTCATACACTCTGCGCTCCTCATACCCTCCCCTCCTCATACCCTCCATGATCCTCCTCATACCCTCCCCACTCCTCATAACCTCCATGCTCCTCATGCCCTCCTCATATACTCCAAGTACCCCAATACACTCCGTGCTCCTCCTACCCTCCGCGCTCCTCATACCCTCCCCTCCTCATACGTGGATCATCTATCTGGGATCATTCTATTATTGAATCTACCCTCCGCACTCCTCATACACTCCAAGTACCCCAATACACTCCGTGCTCCTCCTACCCTCCATGGTCCTCATACACTCCCCCCCTCGTACACTCCGCACTCCTCATACACCCCACTCCTCGTACACTCCGTGCTCCTCATACCCTCCACTCCTCATATACTCCCCTCCCTTCATGCTCCTCATACACTCTGCACTCCTCCTACCCTCCCCTCCTCATACACCCCACTCCTCATACCCTCCCCTCCTCATACATGGATCATCTACCTGGGATCATTCTATTATTGAATCTTCTGTAAATCTATCAGCCATGGAACGTGTCTCCGGGTCGGTGTGGGAAAGCCACATTCTGTGTACATTTCCCGCACCATGTGCACAACATAGGACCCTGCAATCTGCAGCGGGTGTCCATGCAATGCTAGGGGCACCCCATACGTAGGGCGTTCCCCTCCCCCCACCTCCTGTGTGATTCATCCGAAGACTCGCAGTTTTCCTGCCTCACTCCGCCCTGGTCAGAGTTCATTCTACAAATCCTAAGCTCCGCCTCCATCACATCGACAATGAATGCCATTGGATTTTCTCTCATGATTCGATTCATGTCAGCTCTGTGCCAAGTCGGTTCACCTCTTCCAATCGGCCATTCGGTAGCCAAGCCTACTCCATTCCGCGGGGTGGACAGGTGCGGCTGGTGATGTCAGAGGGAGGGGGCCCAGGTGAGGCTAGCGATGTTTGAGGGCGGGGTCTCCACATCATTCCAATCCATATGGAGTACAGGTGAGGGCGGCCCAGGTGAGGCTAGTGATGTCAGAGGGCGGGGTCTCCACATCCCTTCAATCTGGAGAGGACAGATGAGGACAGGTGAGGGCGGGCCCAGGTGAGGCCAGTAATGTCAGAGGGCGGGGTCTCCACATCCCTTCAGTCTGGAGAGGACAGGTGAGGCCGGAATTGGCAATCTATGGGGAGGACAGGAGAGGGTGGGCCCAGGTGAGGCCGGTGATGTTAGAGGGAGGGGTCTCCACATCCCTCCAATCTATGGGAAGGACAGGTGAGGGCAGGCCCAGGTGAGGCTAGTGATTTTAGAGGGCAGGGCCAGGGCTTGTTCTTAACAGAACCTAACCAGAGACAAAGAAGATGGCGGCCGGGAGAGGATTGTGGGGGGCGCTGCTGATCCTCAGTCTAGGTGAGTACTTGCCCAACAGGAGAGTGGAGGGGGGGCAGCTACTGTGGGTGGTGAGTACTTAGCTGTACACAGTGACTATTTACTTGTCCTATCTACCTGTATGGAGCAACTACCTACCTCTCCTATCACCTGCCTGTGCTGTGAGTGCACCAACCTGTCCTGAAACTCTTCACTCAACTCCTTACGTGACAACACCTACCTGGCCTGCTCTGTATTGGGTACAGGGGAGCACCTACCCAACCTGCACTGCATCGTATATTACTGGATGGGGGATTTCTGCTCCCACCACACTTCCCTGTGCCTGGATTGAGGTCTCTTACCGGACTTCTATCAGCCAATCAGAGTCCAGCCTGTCCTGGGAGGTGGTGGGTAGCGGTGCAGGATGGAATACTCGTGCTGAGGAGCTGCAATCTCCTAAAAGTCTTCCCACATCTGTAAAAGTTCTCCCAAAATAGCGCTGCCCCCCCTAGTGACCCCAAAAAATAATAATAAACACCCACCTGAGCATCAAACCTGACGTGTAAATGAATACGGCAACCGGCTGAGCCACGAAATCCAAATGTTCTGCGAAACGCAAATCAGAAATACACCATCAAGTAGCAATAAACACCCGGCCGAGCTATAATAAACACCTGACCCCTGCCCCCGCACCACGGGACCCCCACC